ATTTGCTATGCTTCAAGGGGATGACGGTTCCCCACCGGACATGAAGGCCCACCCCCCACTGTGCGGTTTCAATTTGGTCGGCGTGAAACGCTGCTGCTGTGCTGGTCCAGTTTTGGAAGTGTGAAAACATCAAACAGCTCTCTCTTGCTTTCAGAGGTCATCCAACTGTGAAAGACGGTCAAGGGCTTCCCAATTTGACGCCAGGCGTAAAGCTTGTCTTGCCTTGTCATCCTTGTTGAACTCCAGCCTGCCATGCCTTCTACTGAACTTCTTTTGAATTCAGGTAAGATCCCGCTCTGTGCTAAAAAGCCCGGCGCCTGTTCCCCGTAAAGGGACTGTTCCAATATAATGCTGAGCTTCCGGCAAGGTCCGGGTGCAAGGGGGCCAGCTCAACCAGCACGTCAGCCACTGCTCGCTGCTTAGGATCCCCCAGAAGCACCTCTGAGATGAGATGCCTGCAGTCTGGGCGCTTGCTTTTCTCCAGGAAGATGGTTCGGGTGCTAGTGAGCGAATGCAGTGGTAATGAATGGTAGCGGCGACATTGCGGTAGTGGCCCTGACGGTGGCGATGTCAGCGTCGGTGGCGCAGCTGCTGCTGTTGCTGCTGCTGCCGCTGTTCTGCTGCTCCTCCTGTTGCCAGCATGATGAGAACGAGAAGAAAGACGAGTATGCTGACACAGATGTGATGACGATGATGAAGAAGGCGCAAGAGAGCCCTTACTCCGATGTACAGCGAACTACTACAGGGCTCATGGCGAACAACATGTTCAGAATCTATCCCCAGCGAGGCTGGTGGGGTTGCGAAAGGAAAGGTCTTGAACTTTAACACTATGTGCCGGACTACCTGTTGTTGACCCTTGTTCTTGTTTCTCTGTTGCAGCTCAGGTGGCTTCTGACGGCTTGAACAACATCACAGCAAGTACACCACCACCACCACCACCACTACGACGAAAACCAATACCACCACCACTACAACTGCTACATCTACAGCAGGGTCTGAAAAACAGAATAGACTATAGTTGAAGCATCTCTGAGGTATATGATGCTGCAGCTTCACGGCAGCTATGCGGGAATCCTTCAGGCTAGGTGTGCATCCTGCCAGGCAAGGCCAGCCTCCAGTATCTATGAGAAACATACGGTTACCCCCCAAATCAGCCGTCAAATCAATTGAAAGCTGCAGATCAACTGTGATTCCACGCACATATCCATGATGAGAATACATGCTGCAAGGACATGGGGTTCGAGCAACACTTCCCAACGACAACCTATGATAGCAGAAGGGTATTCATCTCCTCTTTGCAACTACATTCAGCGACCCCCTTCGTCCTTCAAAGTATGCCACAAGATCCTCAACCTTGAGAAAGAACCTCGACTCTACCTGGAGACTTGAATGTCACGCTCATGTATAATCCTAAACCCAATAGACTATGGCTCACGCAAGTCGCCAGGTTCTTCGTCTGACCTGGCCTCGTCAAGTTTTTGGCAAGGGTCCGGTCGACCTGGCCAAACACGCGGGAAGCCTACGAACTGTAGGCGCCTTCAGTGGCTAAAAGAGGTGTGGACATGGGTTCTTATTAGAGGAGACATTAAGGACTATACTAAACTACTTAGGGGACCCCTATGTCCACCCTTATTGGTCCCTTGGTATCCGCCTCACAGGATGGAGCAGCGTCGTCGCTCCGCCGCGTCTCCAACACTTGGCAAAGGAGCCGCAAAAGCTGCAGCCTCAGGAATCACCGGCATGGCCCGGCATATAGTCCCCCTCAAGTATAGAATATGATATGGTTTTGGGTATATTATACTAAGGCCCCCATATACCCCATATTCTATCCACTTAAAGGGGGGACTGTAATCCCAAACAGCAATGCAAACAATCCGTTTCTCAGATTTTCCAGCGACAATGGGGATGGGGAGTTCTTTGAGGCGGGCATGGGGGGGGTTCTCAAGTTGTAAGCATCTTTGCGCAGCAGCTAACAGGAAATACGTTGGAAGATTTCAAGGGCTGTCGTTGAATACTTCTCGCAGAGAACGTCCCCTGTGTTTCTTGAGTCTCTACAATTGGTGCCATGGTCTGCGGGCCATATTTGTGGGGCTCCATCTTCGTGTTCATCCATCTCTTGAAGCAACGATTGCTCGGATAGGCCTTACGAATTTGCTCCCGTGCCTTGCTCAGTGCCCATCATGGGCCATGGTCTGAACTCCTAGTAGCTCCCTTAATAAGCCATATAGTAATCCGCTATATAATGCCCGATATAAGCCACCTTTAAGGAATTTAGACTATGGCTCACATGGGGCTGCATATTCGTGTTCGTCTCTGCGTCTACAGATGAGGTGCTACAGGTTGCAGATTCGAACGGGAAAGCATAAAGAAATTAGAACAAGCCTAGCGGTCAGGAGCAGGCCCTCTTCTTACTGTTATTACTATTCTTACTATTACCATTATTCATTACTTTCTATGAGAGCAATTCACAAAAGTCTTGCAGCAAACGGCTACGCTCACCATCCGTTGTTGAAGGGATGGGATCGATAGAGAGGAAAAGTCAGGCCATGGCGAAAACACACTTGTTCAAACACCATAATAACATTGATGGAAGCAGTTTAGCCGGAGCCTATTTGATCACGTAGCAAATGACTGCTCGGTTGCCAGGAGGCTTGTGCTGATCAGAGACCTTCGATGTCTCAAGGGCGGAGAAGACGGCAGCCACCACCAGGGGAAAGTTCGTCTTTGCAATCTGAATCCTCGGCTGAATTGCATCGGGATGATGGAAGCTTCTCAAGATCCCTGTCAGACTTAAAGGGGCGGTGATGTCATAAACTGACCTGGAACAGATTGGCAAAATGGCGTGGCATCCTGAAATATGAGAAATGATAAACTTGGGGACCTCGGCCAGGATTTCATGAGTGCAAGATGCGTACAAGAGGGATCCTGATGCACATCTTGCGCATGCCGTACACCAAATCCAGAATGCAAATGCACATGGTGACCTTCACACCAAGCTGCAAAGAGGAATTGATAGCCACCTGGACCTGACAGACAGGAGTTCTGATCTGGGAGGCTCGGGTTTCGGGCTTGGGGTCTTTGCTGGTGTCAGGCTGACTCAGAAACTACGGCAAGGCCAACATCCATCTGATCCCGTACAAAAACTGCTTGAAACACGAACGGCGCCAAAATCTGGATCCCCAGAGCAGTGTAGCTGAAATCCAAAATCCTCGGGCTACGACTACAACCCGACCCTGGACCCCTAAGCCATCAGTTTCAAGATCGATCTTGTTCTCAGGAGCCCACCTGCTGGGTGGAAGTTGAGCCGCCCTTGGCATTTAAGAGCGAGTAAACCACTTCCTTCACAAGGTGCGTGTCATCCGCAGAAGTGCCCAAGTCACCTCAATCCAGATCTGAGGGGGCTTGATCTCACCTCTCAGGGTGCTTTCACAAGAGTAGGTAGGATTCTGACGGTCGGAGGTAATCTCTATTCCGTGTTGCATCTGCTTTTCCATTCGATTCTCCATCCAGTGCATAATTTCTCTTCTTTACGCTTACATTCAATACGTGCTGAACTCAAACCCCCAGAACCCAGGATTGAACCATTCAAGGGCAGCTCCTACGCTGAGGCATCGACTCTGAGGGCGCGCGGGCAGGGACTTCGTCACTATCATCCTCTTGCCCTCGGAGCGGCCAAAGCCTCCATTTCTGGAGGGGAAGTCCATGGCCGTCAGGTTGACTTAGGCATGGCCTGGCAACCTACGCTGAACTGTTGGTGCCGTGCGTGTCTGTTCTTTTTAAACGTCCGCAGCTCTTGCTAAAGTATGGCTACAGCAACCTTGACACATCACTGTAAGTAATTGTCAAATGGCTTGGGTTGCGTGTTTTGCGCTGCTTTCAAACCTGCTTCTTGAGCCAGCTAACCCGCGAAAAGATCTTGCATGCGGCTTTACTGCTTCTGGCGGAGGCATATCTGTATAATAGAAGTCTATGCAGTAAATGACAGCTAAAACTGGCTGAGGATACGATAACAGGAGGTTTACCACATCCTATCGACACCATCTTTGTCTGGCCACAGGCCGACAGACCACAGGGCGGAGGGGTGGGGGGGTAATCGGTTATAAGTTAGAACCCCTTCGCAAACATTATGAGCCCCTTCACAAGAAACCCTATAATGTAAACCGCAAGACCCAGACCACAGGCCACGGGGGGTGGGTGGCTAAGAAACCGAATTAAGGCTTAACCGATACCCACCATACAATGCCGGGGAGGGCGGGGGATCCTGGGGCGTGACCAAAAAGGGGACAATTTGAAAACACCCTATTGTACTTACTATGTAGGCCGGCCTCTTGAAAACAGCTCTGCCGAACAAGGAAACAAGGCACGAGCTTGTGCTTTGTTCGTGTAGCTTTGCATGCACATCTGCGGTGAAACTTGGGCTTCTCCGAAACACAGAGGGCCCTAGCGTCCAGTTTTTTGAGTACTTGTATTAGGGTCATATTGGGGTTATATAGGGTTATATCGGGGTTATTTGGGATAATGGAAAATAAGCTGGAAACTACTATGATATATTAACTTTTGCTCTTGGGCACTGCTGCGCGGGAGGGTCGCATGCTCAAACGGCAATGTTCACACTCGACGCACAGCAGGGACATACAGGGCTTCAGGTTGAAGATTCAGCAGCTCTGGGCATTAAGACATGCAAACTTTTAAGCTTCCGGAAATTTACTACCAGCATCTCCCCCGTCAGAACCGAAGCAACAGTTGTGCGTTTTCGCACATGATTGGCCCTCCAAAGCCTGAGGCTAAACCCAATCCTGCCGGGCAACACACATTCTTGATTGACCGTTAAGCCCTAAGCTGAACCCGAAGACCTCAAAGCTGTCCTGCCTCAGAAGCTCCAATACGGAACAACAAAGAGCCCAAGAAAAGTTACTTTACACGAGAGAAGGCTGCTCAGGAAAGATTTACAAGCTTGGCCTCTGAACTGCCTAGCGTTCGGTGTGCATGCCATGAGCAATCTACGCGCCGCGCATTGCGGCGCTCATCAGGAGCTTTCCCATGTCTGCCTGCGCGCCAGTCAGGCGATCAAGACTCATGCGCGTAGCTGGCAACTGCTATGTACCGATGAGCTCACTTGCAGCTGGTCGACCCTTCCCACCTTCGCAGTTGGCACAGACATTGCGGCTTCAATGAGAATCTGCCCCATGGCAGCCTGCAAGTCATTGAGTGGAACCCAAAGCGAGGCTGGCAGCTGCTGATGAACTCACCAGTTCTTGGGCCTCAGAGACTTATGGAAGTTCCTGGCGCTCACACTCGCCCTATCCACCAAGAAAACCCAAACTTCCAATAACGCAACGCGGCCAAGAAGGCCAGCACACTGATCGGGGATCCTGTTTTCGTGTCCGAGCCTTCTTGGCCTCCTGGGCAAAAGCCTTGTGCCGTGTGATGGCCTGGGCATTGCAGTCGCATGGTGCTTCCTCCGAAGCTGCTTGAAGATTGAGCTGGCGGCAGTCTCGATCGGCTTGACCTGAAGTCATATCAAGAGGTCTTGTGATGTTTTGCGCAGACAAAACTCAGACTAAGCACAGACAAGTTGAGGCCATGGCAGCTTCGTATCTTGAGGCAGGCGGTCCCAACTGGCATTGGTCACAGGAAACTTGTAAGCCCAACTTCAACTCATTTTTTTTGGTGGCTTCGGCCTGCTTGAATTCGGGCGGTGGCCTTGGTCGTGCACAAGGGAGCGGACATCACGGCAAGAGTTGCTCTCAGGCGCAAACTCCATGTCCTTTGCAGCAATTGCTGCAGCCTGGCGCACAGTGGCCTCGCCAAACAACACAAAACTCCATCGCTGCACGGTTGCTCCCGTGAGGCTCGACATGCTCAGTTCCAAGGCCACTAAGGCTGCTGCCTTGGGCACAATCATGGTGTGCATGTCCACTTTCAAGCCGAGCTTCTGCCGCTTGGCAAACAATTCAAACTGGAGGTCCTCGTCAGCTGGGGGAGTGCTCCGCAAAGGCCCGCGCAAACTCACAAGGCTGGTCCTGCTGTATGACCTCCTCGTACTGTTTTTGCAACCTTCCCGAGGCCGGAAGCAACTCCAGGCGTCGGAAGATTTTCCCAATCTGCAATCGGCACACTCAAGCTGAGAATGCCCGCGTTCAGCTCGCGGGACATACTTTCTAAAAGCAGCGCGTGTGCACTGCACGGTGCCTGCTGCTGAATCAGCCCGACGTCAAATGCCAGGTCGTTCCACACTTTCTGCCGGGCATTTGTACTGCACAACATGACCACTTGCCATGAATTCCAGAGACTTAGTGAAAATCATTACCATGTGGAGATACTCGCGCCTGCCCAAGCTTCAGCGAAGCCTGGTCCACCCAGTAATCGGACGTGACTACCCGGACAACCGGCTCCACCGGCACCACCGGCACCATGGGTACCATAGGCACCAATGCCACAGGTGGATGGTGTGCAACGCCTCAGCTACACTGGTTCCTTTTCTTCAAAAACGGCACGGCTCCCCACGTCGACTACCTTTACTATGTGCATGTGCTGACTGGAAGACGCCATCTCTTGAGGCGGAGGCTGACGCGGGTAACCCCCCAGAAGCAAGGGGTGACATGTCGAAGGCAAGGGATGCAACTGACCTGTGGCTGTCACTTTCACAACATGCTCTTCATCTGCAAGTCTGCGGGCGCACGCCGTGGCGGAGCTGCGCGCTCCGCGCATTCTGCGCAGCCATTGCGTCCACTAAGGGTGCGCTTATGGCAGGCGAAGAGTGCTCCTGTAGCGATGGATCTTCTCAAGTGAGCTTGCATTTTCCTGCGTCTACATCCAAGCGCTGTTCCCCATGAAGTCAAGCAACCTCCTGAGTGACCTTACAGGCGTCATGCTGATGCTTTTGAGCATTCCCACAAAGCAGGGTACCCTGTACCTAGACCCTGCATATACCCTCTAAACATCCACCATTATGGACGACATACCCCTATTTAAGGGTACAAGGAGGGTACCCTGGTACATATACAAAAGAGTATTGTCCATAGTGGACCCGCACCAAGGGACCCCAAATTCTGGGACAAACCCAAGTCTATGTAACCAGTGTTACCACACACATAATGCCAATACTAATTTTAGTATTAACAATAATAGGATTGTTTCAGTAGTAAAATATACTAGTTATAATGATAGTCAAAAATAGTATCCCTATGACCCACCCAGAAAAGGACCCCTAACTGTTGGAACCCCTCCCCTCTGGCTCTTCTCTTTTTCAAGATACCGCTGGCAACGATCAGCCCAGCCGCAGCACCGAGGCATCCTTGCACGAGTAGCTTGTTTAGGGTTTAGGGTTCCAGAGGATTAGGGGTTTTGGGTTTAGGGTTTGGGGTTTAGGATTCAGAGGATACTGCGGAATGAAGGCATGGAAAAGAACATGGACAGCAGTATAGGGGTGAAGACTTCAAAGAATGGAACAGAACACGGAAATAGGGTTTAGCACGGTGGTTAGGTTAGTGGGAATTAATGGAATGTAGGTAATATTCACTCGGGATCATGTTCGGGCTTCTATGACGATCCAGGCCTCTATTCCTGCTGAATTACAAGACTTGTAGTGAGGATTGCAACATTACGGGATAAAGGTTCAAGGGGCTTTGGAGCATGAGGCTTTGGAATTTGGATCCGAGACCTTCGAAGTAGGACGTGAGACCTTTGAATTACAGGATCCTTGCGACATCTTGCGACAGTTGTTGGCTTTCCTGTGCCTTCTGAGGTCCACGAGTTTGTCAACATCTCTTGTTCCGCAGGTCTATCGTGCTTTGTCCCCTCCAGTGAACTGCAAAAATTGCAAGGAGGCAACTGCCAAAACTGGGCACAAATGACGGCTTTCCTACTGCTTCAATTTTGCTCATGAACTTTGAATATGAGCTCGATGGCCCTCCGTCCCATACTTCTGTGAGAAAATTCTGAGAGACCTCATCGCATTTCAAGTATTCTCTCCCGATACTGCCCCTGGATCTTTGGGCCCTAGATCTGTGAACCCTTATCAAGGTGAATTGACATGCCAGGAGATTCGGTTGCCAATCTTTCTTATGTCAACACGAAGACTCATACAAGATCCCTTCAGAAAGCACTAAGCCCCCCATGCAGCACCAGACCACCCAGCAGTACCTGCGTTCAAGCTGGGCCCAGCACTTCGATGTCCATGTCAGCGGGTTGCTGCTGCTCCTGGAACTGTCTCACCCTTTGTTTCTTTGCAGGGCCGTTGCTAACAAGAAGGCTTGAACAACAGTATGTGCCTCCTGCACAACTTTCATGCCATGGCCATGATTAGATCTTCAGATGAGCAGGAGAGCTCATCTTGAAGATTCCAGCGGGGATGAACAACTGACAACCGCCAAGACCAAGCCCAATGAACAGCCAAAGGAATTCACCCCCCCCCCCCCTCACAACTCGAGGCTCATCGGAAATGTGAAGCCAGGTGATTGTAATAGCGACACTAAGAAAATAAAGAAAAACACTAATAGAAGTTGTAGAAATAATACGAAGAAGAATACTGATAACAATAGTAAGAATAAGAATACGAATAACAATGATAGCAGTAATAATATCAATAATAGTAGTAATAAGAATACGAATAACAATCATAACAGTAATAACTTAATAATATCAATAATAGTAGTAGTCAGAACTTTAGTGGAGCGCTTAGCTTGTCATAGCCCAAAGGAGCCTTGCCTTGGCAGTGGTCCTCGGGTTGATGTTGCCGTACCTCAGATTCCGCACACGGTTTAGGGTTTAGGGTTTAGGATTTAGAGTTTAGGGGTTTAGGGTTTAGGATTTATGAGGTGTTCCAAAGCATAATCCCTCTCTAGCCCAGCAAAAAAATACACACCCTAGAATCTCTGTAAAACCCCGATTATATACCCTGTAGCATCCTATAACCCCTATACACCTCCAATATGTACCCTATAACCCCTATATAACCCCCTATACATCCCCAATATATACCCTATAACTCCTACATAACCCCTATATATACCCTATAATCCCTAGATTCCGCGATGAGGCGTCCCAAAGCACAGTCAGGGATACCTTGCTCTCTTGGGAAGCTATATGACAGAGCGCTATCTGAAGTGCAAAATCTGCATTGGCCGATGACAAAAACAAGGTTCTTCACGTTTTGCCTTCCAGCAGTACGATGTAACTATGACGTCTATGGTCTTGACTAACTTTGAGAACCCTGTTTTACGCAAAGAGAATAGCACAGAATACAAAAATAGACCTGTCATAGTATGACCATTGTCGACCGTGGTACCAGCAAATAGAAGGATTGAAGTGCTGATAGCAGCCACTGTCTGGGGCAGCTGCTTTTCGAAGAGCTGCTGCTTCAAGAGCTGCTGCTCTCTATCCCGCCTCACTTCGAGCTTGGCACCAAGAAGAAGGGGGAGACCCTGCCTATCATTAGGATCCAGAGAATGGGCATAAGTGGAGCAAACGTTGTTCTTGGAACAAGCTCCAACCTGTCCACCGCGAAGCTACTCCAACATGCAACCTGCTGTGGAACATGATCAAGGAGCACGGCTAAGCGTGCTCGGTGCGCGGAACCTCGACAGCCTTAAATATTTGGGAGTCCCGCAAACAACCCCGGCCTGGTAACTCCTCTGACTACAAATAAAGGCTCCGCCCCCACGTCGCCACCAACCCAGAATATGCATGCTGTGGTGTCGTCAGCAAACGGGCTTGATCCACCGTGCTTGGGAACCACAAGCAGTCAAGTTCGCAGATGGGCATTGAAGCGCCTATTGTCTCAACCTTCATTGAGCGATCGTCAACAGCTCCCTGCATGAACCCGCATCTTCTCCGCAATGCGAAGAAATGTTACGCCGTCCCGTCACACCCTTCTTGCATCGTATACAGAGCTCTGATCTCATCTCTGAAAGCACTTGCAACAACTTTCGTAGGCATCTTGGCAATAGCCTTGTGATCGCCAAACGCCCGTGCGTCAGGAACATGTCGAGTTTTCACCCTCATATTGAGTATGATCCACGGCCACCACTTCTCTCGTGCTTGGAGGGATGTGGGCCTGCATCAGAAAGGGCCGTCAGATTCTGTTCTCAACAACCTTTGTTTGTGCCTACGCTCGCGTGATACAGATTTTGTGGGACGAGGACCCTCTACTGAGCTTTCCCATATCCTCTCTCAATTACTTCTGTAGTCCCTGCAAAACTCACAAGCAGTGCCTAAGTCCTGTGTTGCCATGATGCACTCGCTACGAAGATTCGGGCTTTTCCCAAGACAGGGCAAACGGAGGAAGTATCCTGAGACCACAGCGCCCAGGGAGGAGTACATATCGGATGTTTGGGGAGACTCTCACGTCTGGTCCTGAGGCCATGACTCAGTTTCTGGACGGCTCAGGATGGACTCATCCGCTATCTGCTTCCTGTGCTCCACCTTTGATTGAACAAAGCTACAGTTGCAGGATAACCTAGGGGACATGGTACTTCCCGTCAAGGTTTGCAAGTGGACAGTTGCCGTGGTCTCTTGCCCGGGTTTCAGGAAGGGGGTTGGACCAAAGGCTGGAAACTTCCGCACGAGCGCGAATCCGAAACAAAAGCCTCAGGTCTCAAAGAGCAGTCTGCCTTGCTGGGATCCTAAGACTCACGTCCCTTGAATATCCAGTACGCCCTGCTAAGATGTCCTTTCAATGGCAAAATATGGTGATCTTGCAAGAAAGCTCAACCCTTTTTTGAGCCTGTTTTAGCAAAGTGACAATGGCCTGGGTACACCTATCTGGGACAAGGTCAACAATATAAAAGGTATAACCTTCAACTCTCAGAGCTTGTATGTCGTACAGCAATAACCACCGAAGATAATCTGACGATAGAATATGGGGTATTGGGATCTTATAATGATATACCCAAAGCCTCATTCTATCTACTTAAGGGGGACTGTAAACCCCAAAAAAACATTCCTCCCAAGCGCGCCTGGCGAGGAGCATAAGTTTCCTCCTCACGGAGTCGTGTCGAGGCTTGTCCCACATCCCGCTTCATGGCCAGGCCGCTCATGAAACCTGCGAAGTCAAAGGTCCCAAATTGAGGATAATGGACAAACAATGGAAAGTAGGGTTGTGTGGGGGTACAACTATGCCAGGATATATAGAGGTAGCTAGAAGTAACGAAAAATAAAATAGAAACTGCTATTTGGGGTCTAGGTCTTCAGAGATTGGGGGGATGGGCTTGCGGTTGGAATGGCTCATGGTAGCAACTGCTTGTGGTAGGCAAGGCAAGGTACTGCTGATAACAATGTTCCGAGCTGTGAAGGTGCAATCCTACACTCCTCATTGAAATCCGTGTTCTGCGCTCAGGCTGAGAGACTATGGAACCCTGAATACTGGTGTCCATGTCATTTTCCATGTTCTTTTGCATCTGCTTCTCCATCGTTAGACCCTGTTCCCGTATATAACCCCTATAAACCCTAGATAATGAGCCGGGGCCAGGACCTCTGGCTCTCAAAATGCTTTCAAGGGCCAAAGGCCCATGCTTGGGTACAGTTCCAGCCTTGCTCCCACCGGCTGAGAACGAGTGACGTGTGGGCATTAAGGTGTTTAGGAATTTTAGGATAGATGGGTGGGGCCTTGCAGGGCATGTGAGGCTTGGAATGACCAATACTAGTATCACATAGTCCAACAATTATCCTTCAACTCGCTTCAGCATCTTGGCAACTGGGAACTCCTTAGAGTCCGAGCTTTGGGGTTGGAAGGCCAAGCCGCAAACTCACGAGTAGCTGTCAACTTTTTATCCGTAGTCGGTGTTGTGACGACGGCTCTGTCAAGTATCTCCGTAGGAAATGAAGACTTCAAGACTCGCCATAAGGCCTAGCGGCCTAGCGCCGTTGTTTCGATCCCAGTGTGCAGGCCCAGCTTGCAGGTCGAAACAACTCGGGCTTCCTGCACGGGAACCCGGGTAACCCATCGAGCATCCGTGTTCGAAGTCTGTTGCAGCAATCCTCCAGCTGTAAGTCTGTTCCTCGAGCCATTGCCTCAACCTACGGAGGCCCCTTCGTGCGCCGCCTGCGCTTGGGCTTCCTGGCAAGTCCTTCGGCCTCGGCGGCCTCGGCGGCCTCAGAGAGGAACTGTACAATGTCTGGCTCCGCGGCCTCACTTGCTATCTCCAACGCTGTAAGGCGACCATATCTAAGGTTTAGATCAGCCTTTCGCTGGACCAGGAATCGGGCAGCATTCAGACGGCCGCCAGCGCATGCCATGTGCAGAGGTGTCGCGCCGATAGACGAGACACAGTTGATGTTGACTCCCCTCTCTAGCAGCAACTGCGCCATCTCAAGCTGTTCACATACAGTCGCTACAACTAATGGTGTGCGGCCCTCTGCATCCTCCACGTTGGGATCAACACCCGCCTCAAGAAAGATTCTGGCAACGTCCACCTCTCCGTGAAAACATGTGGAGTGCAAAAGGAGTCGTCCATTCTCCTCCGCTTTGCGAATGTCTGCCTGGCTCTGCAACAGCCAGCGTGTGAACTCCGCATGGCCGGCGACACTTGCCCACAGCAATGGCGCCCAGGCAGTCGACGAGTCAGTTTTGTCTAGCAGGGCCTTGGCTTCAAGCAGCAGCTTGGCAGACCTCAAGCTCCCATGCCTTGCAGCAAGGCACAAGCAGCTCAGCCCGCTCGCCTCCTCCTGATTGGGATCATGTGGCTGGTGGAGGAAGTCATCGACAACATCTGCGTCATCAGTTTGTAGAGCTAAGGTCATCCTGTCAAGTATTTGCGGAGAAGGTGCAAACAGTGATAACAGCACAAGATGTAGTACAATCGGCAGCTGCAGCGCGTCGTTGTCTCTGATGATGCGCTCGCCACAAAGCAAGCGCTGACGGAATCTTGGCTGGCCAGTCACCGCCTCAAGACGCAACTTCAAATGCCGGACGGATGTCTGGCCCTCCGTGGCCAGGTGGTTGTACTCCTCAAGCGCCAGGGACAGCACTTCCACTCCCGAGGTCATCATCAGAATCTGCAACATAGCCAAGTGACTGTGTAGAACAGGATTCAGAAGTTTTACCAGCTAACATGTGTCTAAGGTTCTCCAAGCTGCTTTACCATTCCGTGCTAAGCAGGTCATGCCACCTCTGCTCACTAGTGGGCGTAGCAAGCTTTGTCGTGTTTTGTGTTGAAGTGTGCAATGCAGCAGCGGTGAGCAGCATACCCCATTACTGACTGTACCTATAGCCACATATTCCCAGACCATCGTAGACCCAGATGAAGGTGGGGGCCTGCTACAACAGTCCAGGCAAATGACACTGACCTGATTAGCGATTGCAACAGAGATGATAACAAGCTGAGATGCACGCACGACTTGCGACAACATCCCTGGAAAAAGAAACTTAAGCACACATGTTGAAGAGCAGTTCTCAACCACTGCCCAGCCTTGCCGCGGGGTTTGCTGCATTAGGGACCGGGGTCAAAGAGTATTGGCAGAGTTGAGGTTGTCAAAGGGCTTCTGAAAACAGCACAGTCCAACGTCCAAAGCCTGAATTTAATTTCAAGCCCCTAAATAATTCAAGAGGACGTCATGAATGTGCACCGTGCCATCCGGAGGTTCGCCATTGCATCCAGCCAGTATCCAGTCTTGCTGACAAAAGGGCTGGAAAGAGGTAACAACCCCCGCAGGAAACCCTGCGCCCTGAAGCCCCTACCCCCAACACTCTACCCTATCCGATCTCGCCTATAGGTTTTCGGTGGTAGTCCTTGCCGGTGCCTGCAGCTGCTCCCACCCGACACAATTTTGGGGTTGGGGTAGACCAAGGCAATCCAGGGATCTATCTGTAAACGGGATCTCCCCTAAAGACGGCTCAAACGGGGAAAATTCTGGGTCTTCCCAGATGGGTACGTTGATCCCAACCTCTGAATGAAACATGCATGAAATCGATTGTGTCATCTGACACAACCCAAGAGGGATTGCGCAAAAGCTTTGGGAAAGACGGATTGCAACCTCACCTCACCTTTTTGTAAACCTTGGATGCATGATCAGCCAGTGCACGTCAGAAAGTAATGAACACGAGCTGTGTCAGTATCATTCTTCGAGGGGGCGCAGATGGGAT